CCAACACTATGTGACAAGACACTGCATGTACAAATATAAAGTCAGAAGGTGGACGTTCCCCAACGTCGAGTTGTTGGGAAAAAGGTTTGATGTGCACAGTGATCATTTTGAATAGATGTTGATGAGAACTGTTATGAATGTTGGTCGACTTGAGGTAACAATGGAATGAATCATAAAAACACTTGGAAAAGTAGCAGTTGCTTGATTCCCAGTCACTCAGAACACAGCTCTCAGGCTTATCATATGGCACTGCTTACTGGGCCACCCTCATCTGGCTGAAACATTCATTTCAGCCTTCACGCAAGAGCAGCTGGCCTTAAGGCAGCAGCATCTGACACAGACCAGGCCGGGAAAGAGGAAACGCACAGGAAGATGATAGTGGCCATCACCTGTGCCTGTAGAGTGGAGACGGCACTCACATACACATCAGTCCACTCACTGCAATCAGGCAGTGGCTTGTACCAAGTGAGGTCCCTCTGACAAACAACCACTAACGTGCACAAACAGGAGTGAGACATCGATACAAATCCACCCTGTTACACCTGTCTGGGTCATGTAGCTCTGTAGTACTGTATATACTGGTTTTAGCACTGATACTACCAGCAGTGGACTGCTGCTGCTGACATGTATCACATGAATACCAAAAATAAACTATGTAAGGTAGTGGTGAAAAGTTTAGGAAAAGAAGTTACAAGATCAAATGCTTCAGTTACTCATGTCCTGTCTGAAGGCATCTAAAGTGAAAGCACAAATTGTCCCTGAAGTTAGCATCCAAACTTTTCAAAGGTCTGCACATTGTTTCCTCGTTCTGTGTGAAGGAATTTCAAGCTGGAGGTGAGGAAAGAAGACAAGAAAGGCTGCACATTACAGCTCCTGATCAATACCTGTTCCAACTACAGACTGATTATGGACAGGGATGATGAGAGTTCCTGTGTATGTAAGACTAGTGAGCAGCAGAAAAAGTAAGGTCGAAAGGTACGCACAGTCCTGAGGAAAATCAACCCTCACAAAGTGGCAGGACCGGACAACATCCCTGGGAGGGCTCTCAGGGCATGTGCCAGCGAGCTGGCTGATGTTCTCACCACCATCTTCAACCTCTCCCTCAACCAGAGCATCGTTCCCACCTGCTTTAAGACCACAACCATCATCCCCCTTCCCAAGAAGAGC